GTCTAAGTATCTTTTTGAGAATTGGTTTTTATCTATCTATACGTAAAGAATTTTATGGTAAAAATGATTAGATATTAATAATAAGAAGAATTTTGTAGCCGTGAAACACATCGACATTCTACTTTATTTTACTGTTTTATTATTCATTATTCTCTCGCTTCATATGTTTATATACTTCAGGAATTGTGAAATTTTCTATGGAAACATTTGTTTCTCATAGTAAATTTATAGCAAACAAATAATAAGATGAACTATATTGATGCTTTATTCCTGTATTAATGTAGGAAACGTGGCAAAGATAAAAATAATTTAAATAATATAAAGCTGCAATATTTCAGGTAGAAGTCATTTGTAAGGACGCAACAAGGAACATTTCAAAATACCTTTAAAATCCGCCCATTATCGACAAATGAAAGTGAACGCCGGTTTCTGTAAATACGCAAGTAAATTCGATGTGGTAACATAACATGACGACATGATGTATATTTAGAAAAGTTTGCGTGGTTAAAGTAGGACTATCATTTTATCGCTGGGTGCTTTATCAGAAATATCGCAATTCGTTCGAGAGATACAACGATATACGATACGTATTTTCCAGCACAGAGTCGTCGAACGTGCTGGAACGATTAAAACAGGTCCGTAAGCAATCTGCGAGCTCGTTGAAAAGATAAGGACCGTTTGCCTGACGAGAGGGAGAAATAACATTTTTCAGTACATATATTTGCCGCACTGGAGCAAAATATATGCGGCCAGAGAAATGTTTGCCTGACTCACCCTAGAGAATATATTCTAGAAGAATATTTCTAGAAGAAAGTCGTTCTTGTTTGAAGTAATGCGCTAATTAAAGAGTCATTTGTCTCGGCCTCGACAGATAGATGAAATCTAACGGGTTGTAACTCCCATAGAACTAATGACAGCAAGATGATTCGACAGATATATTAAATCGAAATCGTTTCTCGGCCTGCGGGACAGTCGGGCTCGACGACGAAAGGCACTCAAGGAATCGCGACGCTTATCGCCCGCTTATCTGTTTTTCAGTGTAAAAGGAAAAGATCGGCGGAGCCGATTAGCAATGTAAAGTTAACACTTTGCATTTACATACATATCTACGAGACAGTTCTTTTCGACAAGAACGATCGGCATTATCAGTCATACTTCAAATCTCGTCTTTCTATCTCGCGGGATTAATGAGTTAAGCACTGGATGCAGCAGGCGCACATTCACCTAATTACGTCACTGGCGTCTCTAAGCGCGTAGTTGTTATATACGTTGTCATACGCGCTCATATGTATACGCGCGCACACACGTACACAGACACGAGTATCGCGTGTACGTGAGGAGACACGTTCCCGATTAATAGCTCGGCGCGGTCAACGCGGTTCGCGCTAAGCAAAAACCCAGAGAAGACTGCCTTGAATTAATAAATAATTATTTGTGCGTTTTCTCGGATCGTATTGTAGGACTCGGTAGGTCGGCCCGCGCTCCGCGGATTTGCTTACGTCACCGCTCATTCCGTATGCGTCGTCGCGGTGATTATGATCGCCGCAAGGATCTCGCGACTGAGCACGCACACGTCCTCTCTCGCAGAAGTAGTTCGGGATCTTTACGTAATTTTATTCCGTATTAAAAGTAATCTCGAGCGCGGCACGGCGCCGAGAGGAAGTTGCGACATTCGCGCGCCGCCGCGACGGCCGCGCTTTCCGCGCCGACGACGATCTCGACTAATTTGTACCTGGAGAAAGAGATCTGCAAGGGACACGAGGTGTCCCCCAAAACAGTTTGTACTTCGTTTGAATTACCTCGAAACCGACGGGATTCTCTTTCTCAGATAGAATAATTTAACATCACGTTTTGTTCTCCGCGAGTAGAGAGAAGTGAAAGTCCATCTAATCTGCCGCTGAGCCTACTTGCTAAGGAAATAAATGTCTGTATATCTCTGGGAGATATTTTTAAAGTTGTTATTTAAAAATACACTGAGAAATCCTCTTGATCTCGAAAGATATGTAAAAATTTAATGTAGTTTTCACAAAAATAATGATAATGAGATGATTCAACGAATATTTTTTAACCTGAAGTTTCTTGTATTTATATTTATTTGACTATAAAAATTACCTTTATATTTATTATAATCCAAATAGTAAAGAGAATTCCAAAAGAATTCATGTTTAGGTCACCAATTTTAAATTCTTCTTCAGACTCAAAAAGAATTCTCTTTTAATAAACAGAATTCTTTTTGTATCTAAAAAACATTCAGAATTGGTGACATAAAAATAAAATGAATTCTTTTTGAATTATTTGAATTCTTTGCTTCTAGGAATGTTACACAGGACTCGTCACTTGTTAAAATGTTTTGTGAAGTTTATCAAGTTACATCGCGTAAACAAAACATTACATGCAAACTGTATTTAAATTGTCTTATAGTGCAAGCTTCCTCTTTTAATTGGAGTAATTGCAAATTTACGGTACGATTCTTTTTCATCGAGTCTTAACCTTACAATCCTTACATATTTAAAAATACAGACTTTCCATTAGATGCTCCTCAAACCACGTCATTATCGTTACTTTTATTGTAATTACGTTGACTTTTGTATATTTCAGTAAAGTGTATCTAACTTGCCCCATTGGAGATCCAAATATTTGAAAATAATAAAATACAACTGATCTGTTGATTATTGCGACTCAGTTCTTTATGTGGTGACACAGCAGTAGGCCTATTCTCTAACTTTCTAACGACAACGTCGTTATCGTTACGTAGCGACGATTGTCGCTTGCGCTAATGAAACGAAAATGCTATTCTATAACTCAAGCTAGCAGTACCGTATCGATACAAAATGTGATACCGACGTCGTTACCGAAACGAGTATATTCAGTTCAATATAACTGCTGCAGTGTTCAGCCAATCAAATCTCTTTTCTTTGTGTATCTTTTTCAGTGAGTTTAGGAACATTAGTAAGTAAATACAAATATTGGCTGTGGCAACAATTATATGTGACAGTTAACCAAAATATGTCAAAATAAGTATATGTAAAATAAATAATACACAAGAAGATTAAATCAAACATTAATTTGGCATCAACTATATGAGCTTATATTAAAATCGTAATTTGTCATCAAAGTATATCGACATAACTTCCCAGACAGCACAATGTCTAAAAGTGGGACATAAGACTTTAAGACGTTTTTAAGTTGTCTTTAAGACAAGTTTATAAAGTATTGTCTTAAAGATATCTTAAAGTTGCTTTAAAGACGTCTTATGATTCGATTTTGGACATTTGTGCCGTCTGAGTTAATAAAACGTGATACACAAGTATCACAATGAAAAAATGTAATTGTATATATAATATTAATCTTCGAAATATACATAACATTTTTTTTAATATAATGTTTGCAGATCATGTTTTAAATTATGTTCATACATGTTGTTAGCAAAATATTTATTATACATGTGGACCAATACAGTTAATATCAAATAGATGTCATATATTTGTGTGTGTGTGTGTGTATATATATAATAACTGTATGTTTAATCAATATATAAAAGATTGAAAAAATATATAAAAGATTGATAAAATATATTAATACATTTTTAATATTTTTTAATATTTTTAATATTTTTGTAGACATGGCGAGAGCATAAATCAAAGGTATCTGAAAAGATACAAAAATTAAGGAAAAAAAGAGCCAGTAGTCGGCAACAGTAGAGCCGATGTATAAACGTAGAGCCACACTTTCCTACTATTTGGAGTATCGTTATACCTAGTTATATTGTCGTTATTGCTTATCGAGGGGTCCCATACCCCTCGATATCTTAACGACAAAATTCGATATTTTATCGACACTTTTAACGATATTTATCGTTAAGAAAAATTACAGAATACCATTTTTCGTTACAGTGTCGTTAAATCTCCGTAACGACACTCTAAGCTAGTGACATTGTCGTTAAGAAGTTAGAGAATAGGCCTACAGGTCATGCTAAACCAACCAATCGCACATAACTACGCGTACATAGGGCGTTCTACTGCATTCTATTGCTGTGTGTGAATTGGCTGCACTAGTGGCTTCTGCACACAGGACGCGGTAATGCTTGCAGCGCGGCGGAAGTTCGCGCGACAGCCAATCTGCTGCTTTCTGTAATAACCTTCTAGCTCTTACGGAAAAACAACATATTGATTGGCTGTCGCGCGGACTTCCGCCGCGCGGCGAGCATTACCGCGTCCTGTGTGCAGGAGCCATTATGGTTGGACGCCATTTGTAAAACAATAAGTTAGAGCGAGATAAAATATATTTGTCTCACTCTTATTGCACCAGTTCAGTGGTGCAGCTCTTTAACTGGTGAGACAAGTCTTATCTCGCTCTAACTTATTGTTTTACAAATGGCGCCCAACCATAAGAAATTATTCATTTCAGGATTTCCTCTCAATTGGGAAACACGAATCAGGACCACTTTCGTTATATGGAGTTCGACCTTCTTCTCTCTTACTTAATGGACTGGACAAAACCTACAAAATGGCGGCGCAAACACGTGAGCTCGTAAAAAGTGCGTACTTTTTTGCTGCACTGCTGCACTTGCTGTACTAGTGCAATAAGTAGAGTGAGAATATATTTTTTCTCACTTTAAGGGCCTTTGCACGTAGAAAATTTTAACCGTAACCGTAAGTTCATAAGAAAATTGACCAATCAGAGTTGATTATTCTCTCTGCGTTTGAGCCATAGTATATGTTACATATACTATAATGTTTCTAGTAATAGAATGTACTTGGAGGAACCTGGGTATCTATTATAGACTTCTTCGGAATCAATTCCGATCGGAAATATTCAGTTATTTCCTAGATTTCTATTGTCTTTTCTAGGGGAAACGGAATTATTCCGATCGGAATTGATTCCGAAGAAGTCCATAATAGGTACCCTGAACGCAGCCTTGAAGAAAACAAGGGAAGTTCCATCTATGTTCTTTTGCGTCTATGGCCGTACGATCATCAACAAGCAACATTTTCACCAGGTGGCGTATGGATTTACTTCCAAGCCAGGAAACAGATAGATAGATCACCAAGCAACACAACATAACCTCGTCAAGCCAAGTCGAGCGGATCACGCTTGTTTTGTCAGCCAGCAAGGACCGTGAGTCGCGAGAAATCATGCCGATGCAATGGCAAAACTTCCTCGACGTCCTCGGTCGCAAAATGCGCTCCTCTCGATTGGCTAGTGACATAGCCTTAAAGACCAAGATAAATCGCGAGGACGAGCTAATGTCATACTTGGTGACCGATCATGAAATTATGTGAGTACGTTCTCATCGCTCCGCGTATCTTCGAGGATCTCGCGTGGTTCGCGACCAAGTCGCCTGCACGCAGAGATCCTCTCTCTCTCTCGTTAGACACTCTTCTCTTACTCCTCAAACACCGCCACAATAAACAGTCCAGCCGTCGTTCGTGTGTATCCGCTCTTGTGTCCCATCTAAGTGAAATCTCATTTCCCCTCACAGCTTCCTAATTAGCAGCTCCAGTTAGTCGCAATATGTGCACTTATTCATTCACCACCACGCTGTAAATCGTACCACCTTGTCCTTTCTTTGTAACATGATCAACTAATCAGCTCTGTGTATATGTGCGCGCGCGTGTGTGACACAGTCTTCATTATGATGCAGAAAGCTTATATCTATGTGGCTAGACGAGATGCATAGCAAAAAAGAGGGCAAATGCTCTGAGAAGGCAGCAATATTTAAATTGGTCGGTAATCGGGAATTTCAGTCCAAAAAGTATGCTTTGTCAGTGAGTACGTACACAAAGAGTGCAATATATGCACCAGCTGACAGCGAAGACCTCTCAGTGGCGATTGCCAACAGGTCTGCTTCTTTGTTCTACTTGGGCAAGTATCACGTGAGTACCAGGATGAAATAGTATTTAAGGCTTGTGATTTAGACTTGTAAGATTCATACAACAGATTATAGAAAGGCTCTTCAACAAGGATGTTCTACACGGAGCTTCTTGCTTCTTTTATCGCCAGCTTCTCGCTTTCCCAGAGCAAATTTCTGGCTGACAAAGTTGCTATTATTGAACCATTTACATGTTGTTAAACTGTATGAAATCACTAATGTTTTGGGAAGAATTTAAGTGGGAATGGCTAGTCTCAAGCGTTCATGGCATCATGAAATGATATATTTCAAGCCATTGTTGTGCTTTGTGTACAAGTTCTTCAAGCTGAAATCCATAGTTCTGTGATAAAACAGAAAAGTAGAAGAAGGATGTGGGCATGGAATTGGATACGTAAGAGGCTAACTCAGGGGATATCTCAAGGAACAAGCTCCTCAAGGAACTAGCACTGGAGAATCTAATTGTATACTGTAAAGTGACTAACGTAGGAGAAATTTGAGGAAAGCTTTTGAAGAAAGTATATTTACTTGTTTAGAATTATTCGCCAGTCATTCAGCTATTTGCTTGACGAGAGCATTATAGTCGGACTCGTCGATTTTGTCGCAGTGACTACTAGACGCCGCGGCTTCATAAGTTAGCGAGTAAAAAATGAGCATCTAGAAGAACTTTTTACCAGTGAATTCGCTGACGGATTAAGAAGCTTGTTTAAAGCGAATAGAAGCTGCGCCGTGTAAAGCACCTTGTGTTTAATTAAGCGAAGTTTTGTAGAAGAGCATTCAATGCACGAATGTAATAACACAATGAAACAAAGAAACTTATTACGACGTATTACGACTGTCAATACTTTGTTGCACTATTACATTCATGCGTAGGTTCTTAAATGTCTTTCTACAAAACTTTGTAAGATTCAGGCTCCCTTCGTTACGCAAGAAGGAGAGTTTGCTTTCTTAATTTTCCATTGTCTCTATTGTCTATAATGTTGACGTTGATTCGTTTTCCGCTGTAAAATGTATTCGACTATTGCGCACCGACAACGAAGGACTGCATCAAAGATATCGAGTTGGCGACTAAATTGAAGTATCCCCGGAAATTATGCTACAAATTGTACGTACGCGCGGTTCAGTGCTATTTAAAGCTAGGTAAGAAAGAATACGCCAGGACCGCGCTTCATCAGCTGCGTACACTGATAAACGAATATGAAGACATGCCGAACGCAAAGAAAGGCAGGTATACAGTCTGTGTTCCCTGAATTTCTTGGAGTGAAACTTCACTTCACTCCATTGTGAGAAACAGAGTGACCTCTGAATCGCTCGAATTCGAATTATCTTTCACTCATACAGATCTAGGCAACACAAGCTTCTACACTAAAAGACAAAAAATATCTAAAAAATAAAACGTACTTATTTGGAATAAATATATGTATTTAGTTGTGAGCAGCATAGTTGCATTAAATCCGAGTTATCTTTGTATAATGTTAATATGTACCATCCATGATATAACCCAGTTTGCATTTTCAATGCGATTTGTTTGTAGCAATCATAAATCGGTTGGGGTTTCATTTGCTATAAATACACTCTAATTGGAACAAACAGATATTATCACTACTGCAACATCAGTCACTCAGGAATTGCTCTGTGATTGCAGCAACCATATAATTGTTATTCCGTATTTTACTATTGAATCTGGTTGGCACAAGCAGATATTGTTTTTTTCATGTACTATTAATACAGTTACTTAAATCTAAATTTTCTTACTTTTAAATAGAATTAACAATTGCTCTCATGAAAAAAGCGGAGGTTTTAAGAAAATGTATTTTATTTGAAAACAATATTTTATATGAGAACAAAGCAAATATTCTGTTAGTGCTCATTGAATAAATTGTAAATATTGTTTATTTCTTAGATATTTTTTGTCTTTTAGTGTAAAAGACGGGTAAGAGACATCTAAGTAAAGTATGATACCTTTTGGACTTCTTTAAGATATCTTTTAGAAGTTTGCGTTGCCAAGGATGTGAATTCTAGTCAGAATCGTCGAGTGAAAATTTCCACTCAAAATTGAAGAGCAGATTTGATGTACTCCATTGTCACAGAAACATATTCACTCTAATCGACTGAAACAATCATTCAAATAAAGTAAATTCATTCTATATATTCATATTCTATTTTTATATGTAAGATCTGATTATGGATACCACTTTGAACTTGAATGAAAGTATTCACTTTTGCGATTTCGAGTGGTACTATTTTCACTGCCATCCCAAACGAAAATACTCACTTTTTACTTGTTTTAAGTGAGATTTTACTCCAGGAAATTTGAAAGGTACGTCCGAACTCGAACGAAAAGAGAGAGAGAGAGAGAGAGAGAGAGAGAGAGAGAGAGAGAGAGAGAGAGAGAGAGA